GGATGGGAACGGCGGTAGGGTGATGGGGTGACCGGGACATACGGGTGGCGAGGAAACACTGGCAGACAGGTCCTCCGTGGGTTGCGGTTAAGGATAGATCTGTAAACAAAGCAAAGAAAACGCCATAAACCAAAAAGTTCCAGCGAGATACAAGCACTTACGACAAAATATACATAGCGCGGTTTCCAAGCGTTAAACTTGTTTCGAGTTGATGCAATTTTTATTGCGACATAGACGGGAACCGAAATTGGATGGAATATTCCAACTATTAGGTCCTACATTTCTTGCTGCGTGTTCTGAGATTCTTATGGAAAACTGTCTTCCTTTTATACCGCAAATACAGTGGTAAACACACGAGGAGGTAAGTTGAGAACTCAGTTTGTCCAAGGTGAACATCGTGATAACTCACCTCTCCTGTATGAAGAATAATTGGCAAAGTGACGTGGTGTCTCCTTAGAGAGCTTGCTTTGAACAGCGTTGTGTTACTATTCTATCCGTATGCTCAACTTCCGAAGTGCATAGTTCAGGCTATTCTTTGGTAGGTCGTCAATCTTACTGTGATTTCTGTCACATTATCCTACCGGGCGACCGAATTTCCATGAATATTCATGTTCTAGCATACACAACTCATGAACTAAAGATAACCTTCAAATTTTTCCGTAGCACAAATTCTGTGTTGCATTGTAAAATAAGCCTGTCATCAGGGTGCTTTTTACTGTATCCGATAGGAGCTTATCAAGTTCAGATCAGGTCCTTTCCAGCTTGGTTTGCTGAATGTGAACCCGTGGACAGAGATCCATCTACATGTCCCCTAAACAGCACTCTCAATATTCCAATCCTCGTTCTGCTGTTTTATTCAAATAAGCAGCCTAAAGATAGCACCCGAAACCGGTGCACGACTGTGCATAGTTCATGGTTGTAAAACTGAAAATTGAGCTGAAATACTTATCCCGTGATTCCAACTAACATCGATGAATTTAAAGTTTGACTCTGGTTCATGATCCACTGCGAAATCAATTTTGAGATGTAGCTGTTACAACTTTTAAGCTTGCGCCGTGCGTGATCCATCTGTTCTGTTCAAACGAATTCATCAGCAACGTAACGATTATGGAGAGGTACCTTTTTATGGTATGACACGGATTGTGGCTTCAGTTTGGAAATGTCGGCAAACGGTTACATTACTTACCACAAATCTACTTACGGAACGGTTACTGCTCACCGTTCTCGAATTTAGTCTTGATCAATTCTAAGAGGAATCTCAAATTTCGAGTCCATCAGAGAACTTCAACTAGAAATCAAATCAGGCATACACCTGTGGATAACAGATATCCCGAATCGTTTGTGGAGAAAATCCGTATAGATTGACCGTCACTTACGAAACTGACGACAACCAGAATTAAATAACTATTCGTACACTTGCCTTTAACTGTAACGAAAATATTCAATAAATGAAACTATGAAATCTAACCGGAGATATCCATCCGCTAGTCTCTGTATGCAGCGCAAAGCGTTCTCTCGAGATATTGCCCTTTACGGGCTCAGAAAAATACCTTTCTATATTGATCCACATTACTGATAGAAAATGATGAAGGGAACCTTCTCAGTTAAAAATATTGCTTTTTCATAGGTGAATTTTTCCTGTTTATAGCAAATAAAGCGTGAACTGGAAAGCTAGAAAGCATTGGACAGCTTTTTCGACCTGGTTGGGTCTCACCACCAGTGAGCGAATCCATCGACCCTACTGGAGATCGAACCCGCGACCTCACGGACAGAACAGAAGCATACTATCCACTACTGATTAACATGCAGTCAGTAGTCTGGCGTTGTTCCTTGTTTGCACTACCACTAGTCGTGTTGCATCGCTTCCAACCACGGATATTTGTTTGATTTCACATTTTTGAAAATATGCGTTCATTAATTACGGAGTGGGTGTCAATATTTCGCATAAAACATGATCGAAGTCATGCTAAATGAACAGTACAAATGTCTTCCCTTGATGATTTTATAGATTCGCGCAGAGAACGGGCGCTGCTTTTGAAGTTTTACGAACTGCAAAAGAAAGCTGACATATATTATGTCTACGCAAACATTCACAAATATTTGGTGAGCACAATAGTTTTGATAATTTTGTATCCATTTGTTAGTGACACTTCTCTAACAAACCAATTGTATGCTGCTTTTGTTAGCGATTTCATTCGCACTGTTTACAAACGGGAAAATGGAAAACAGAGTAATATTGAAAAATTAATGAAACTATCGAGGAAGTTTCGTGGATTAAACTAGCCGTGTCTCTCTGGAAGGTTTCGCTGAACTTTAACACATCCAACTGTTAGACTACTACAGGCATGGTTCATTGACTTCGCCGGATGAGACTCGAGTAACGCGTAGATAATGTATTATTAAATCACTGGTTTTACGGTAGTTTGGTCAACTTAAGATCTCGCGTGAGGATATGAAAACCTTGACTAAGAGACTCGTATTGTATTGTATTGAAACGCTTTGTACAGGCAACTACGCCTAAATTTTAGTCAAAAAAATGCATTCACCGTTACAATCGGATAAAAATGAAAAAAACTCCTATGCAAAAATGCTAAAATTTTAATAAAAAAGATCATTTTCATAGGTTTAAAATTAGTTTGTTTTGGATCTTCTTCGTGTCACTTAGAATAAGAGTCAGATAGGGTATTGCTGAATGGTGGTATTTCTATTTTCTGCTTACATTTCCTCTATGCCTGTGAGCAATTCTTCTCTTCTCGTCCAGTAAGCAGATGATATAATATTCGGACTGCCCTACCCCAACTCATCATTTCAAACCACCCTACAAGAAGACGTGTTTGAACTAGTTGAGTGGTCACAGCAAAGGAACCTCCGCATGAACCCCCAAAAATGTCACGACGTAATTTTTTTCTTTTTTGAAAGGGCAAAACTATGATGAATTATCAAACGCCAGACCACCTCTATCCATCCTCAGTGACCAGATGGAACGACAACCGTCTGTCAGATACCTGCGCGTTATTTTCAGTCGTAACCTCACCTGATCTGACCTCGTTAATGACGCTTTTCTTAAGGTCAGGAGGCTCACGTTTTATGTTTTACGTCTTAAATCACTTTACATTTCAAACCATCTCATAAGGCGTTTTGTTTCTGCGTGCGTTTTNATGGCTTTATGGGTCCCCTGATATCTTCCCTGGTCTTTTGAACAAGGACCTCAAACTCATTTCCCGATCCTTCAAATTTCTGTCAGTTTGTGGTCTCACACCACGGGAACATCTGGTACAGTATGTGGTGACACACCACCTCAAGTCATGAAAGGACCACCGTAGATTGGTCATGAAGATCGCGGTAGGCTCCCTGGATGGAGACCTCGGGGTCATTGTACTCAGTGGTTAGAGACACTCAGTGTGATGTGGCTGGGTGCTGTACACAGTGGAGCTCGTGCATCTTCTCCATTTGTTTGCAACCTTAGTCCAATGAAACAATCCATTTTCTTTCTGACTCTACCTTCAACTTTCCTATTATTCTTCTACTCCTTCATTCAAATAAACATCCAAATGACGGTGACCAAAACCATCGCACGTAGGTGCATGGTTATTGGTTGTTGAAACTGACACTGAAAAGGTGTTNGTGTTATTCAATTGCCCGTTTGTGTTGTGATCGGTTGGAATCTGATCGTTATAGCACATAACAATTGACCAACAAGTGTACCACTTTGGACATGCTAATCCATTTCCAAATTATGATCCATATGGTTGACTATTTGATATCTCATTTGGTCCGGGAGATCAGTTTCTGCTCAGAACATGCTGCCAGATGTTGGACTGGAACGTTCTCGTGTGCATCTATACACCAAGTGACGTCACGTCGCTTTTTTCGGGATGGAATGATAACTGTTTTTGTGATCTCCCTCTCTCTGCGTCTCGTTTTCACTGCAGCATGAACCATTCGCCTCACAGATGCCTGAGACTTACTTCAATATGGCTCGTTATCTGGTTCACATGTTACAACACGAAGAACTCAATGCAGTTTCCAAAGCGTATCCTTTCCCGTCATTGATTTTCACACATATGCAATATTTCATCTCTCTCTCTATTAGTTGAAAGTTGTCACTTCCATCCAACATTTCCCATCTGTTTGAAATGATGTGGAATGATTGTAGCTCAGGATGCGGATGTTGGTGTTGGTGAGTTCTCCGAGCAGTAAGTGTTGTTCGCAGACGTTTCGTAGTCAAACCAGGGAACATCATCACTTCGACTTCTTCGAAGTGGCTCTGCTGATGTTGCCTAGCTTGGCTACAAAACGTCTGCGAACTACACTTCCAGCTCGGAGAACTCACCAATACCAACATTTCCCATCTGTGTTAGACTAGGCCTTTCTGAGGTTAGTTGTGCTGAATCGGATCTGTCTGACCAGATGCATGTTGCGGATTGAATCCGTGAGTCAAGAAACAGATTATTTTAGATAGGTAAAGTTCATCATGATCTCCCAAATTAATTACTCTTTCGGCAAATTTCAATAATTCAATTCGGTCAGCAGGAGCTCATGATCCAGTTTGCGAACCAATATCGAGAGCTAGTTCATCCACCTCGGCATCTAAAAAGACTTTATCGTTAACTCTCCTTTTATTTCTTATTGAGTGCTCACGCCTATCACCAATTAATTAATAATGAATGGCAAATTGTACTTCATCTTACAGAATGTACGAATGTCCATCAAGGGCTTTGGCTACAACTCTTAGGGTGCTACCTGTGGATATACAAAGAAGAGAAAAGTTTGGTGAGGGGGGGGATGTTCAGATTCGAACAGTATTTTCAGCATATTCCAAGTTTTGTTTTCAAATTTTGATTTTTAAAATCCTGTATGCGTATTGGGTAAGATTTGTTTACATCAGTCTGGCATTGCCCTGACAACCACGTCAGTGGAAGAGTGAGCTGATACTATGTTAGGTTATTAACACTTGTATTCTAAAGTGAACGCCAGCTGAAATGCAGCGAAACGATTCCGGAATTGAATCGTGCTCGCTTGCAGTGTTGGGTTCTTTGTTCGAGTTCATTTCGGGAAATAATTGCTTTATTTTTTTAAAAGCACATCTCGAATCCTGTGATCAAGTGCTTGGATGACTTACTCAAGCTACGGTGCGAAATCCTTCGGAACGCTTTACAAATCCAGTTTTTTCTCACTGTCCAATTTAACAAATATCCATTCATTCATATCCATTTCATTCTTTAAACGTCTCCGTGGATCAAACATGCGTCTGTATGCTCGCAATCTGAAGAGATTGGCAAAGTGCCACATTGATCATTCAAACAAGAACTTACTGGTTTTGAAAGAAATCTGTACCCAAACTGTGCCTATGCTAGATGAGCTCACTTTAGTTTGCCGGGAAAAATAACAACTTTGTACCAGTGTGATTCGGAAAATGTGACAAACCTTCAAACGAAATTCCACAAGTTTACCAAACATTTGAGACCCTAAACCAAGCTTCCGGCAAATCCTGAACAATTTGTACGGGAAGTTTTGTCCATCTAACTGAAGCACTGTCATGTTGTCCGCAGTTTTGTGTCCCCCGGCAACAGTCTAACCCAATAGAGTCGTGTGCGCAGTTTCAATTATTTTTGAATCAACTAAAACAGTTAACCCCAAGCTCTGTTTATCGCTTTCCTTTTCTTCATCATATACACTGTTAGTTCATTCCATAGATTGGCTGACTGCCATGCGGAGTGGAAGACCAGTGAGTGACATCTTCCCAGTTTAACCGTGTGTTTTCGAGTGGATGACTTTCGCGATCCGAAAACTCCGCTTGCATGTTGTGTCTCATGTTTCCATATAGTACCTTTCATGCATGTGTGGACCTCCTTCTTACATGGCGGTAGATTTTCAACATCCGTCCGACGTCAGTTAGTTTTCTTTAGTAGGTGATCTTTCACAATCCCTCCACTTTCGTCTTGTGGCGGAATGTTGAACATTCTCGTTTCATGAGGTCTCGGATTGTGCGGACGGGAGGGAGGGGCAATATCCAGTTTGCATAAAAAGTCCTTCGAACAGTTAAACTATAATCACTGGTTGGCAAAGCGACCTCGGAGATTGTTGGTGATTCCGTTTTAATAATCCATTCATTCCAGTCCTATGCAACACTCCCTCTTAAATGTGCTTTCAACTGGTGACCTGATCTCCTTGACTGTCATATTCTGTGCACAGTGCTGTACTATACGTTTTAGCGCATCACGGCCAAAATTTGGGCGCGTACAAACTGGCCCGACTGGTGTATGAACGGCTTCAAAATTTACATTTGCCGGATGACATGCGAGAAAAAGTTGACCTGGCCAGTCTAAGCATACGAGCAAGACCGTATGTGGATTCCGAGGTGAGTTGAATAACTTTCAGTTTCAGTTTTTGCAACCATTAACCACATGCACTTTCGTGCCCCGGTTTTAGTTGTTGTCTTTTGGCCACCCATTTGAATAAAATAGCAAGATGAAGATCGGAATGTTGAGAGCAAATTCAAGAGAAAGATGGAGAATTCGTGTAGATCGGTACTAATGGAACAATGAGTAAATGCATGAGCGCCACTGGTTGCGACACAGCCATATCACTCAGTTTCTGTAACCATCGAGCACGAGCGCCACTGTTTGCGACACCCAGCCATATCAATCAGTGTCTCTAACCATCGGTGACCCATCCCGAGGTCCCCAGCCAGGGAGCCTAACGGGGCCTATGTGACCTAGTCTCCTGGTTAAGATTTTCATCACCTCGTGCCAGGTCTTAGATTGACCACCCTTGGCTACATTCCACCCACTACCTGCCTCGGCGAACACCGCTCGCCGTGGCAACCTATTCGGTGACATGTGTAACACATGCCCCAACCAACGTAATCTATGGAGGTCAAATAATTGCTCCAGTTGACGAGCGCGATTACTTAAAACTCTACGCCTAACCTCAGCATTGCTCGTCCGGTTACTCCACCGGACTCGTTCAATGCGACGTAGATAACAGTGTTCGACAATCTATTTTTATCCTGTTCCCTTAGCGACTAAGTCTCTGCGCCTCAGAGCAGAACTGGCCGAACTGCTGCGGCATATACTCGATCCTTCACTTATAACCGGATGTCGCGACGGCGACACAAATGTCTCAATTGGGCAAATACCAACTAAGCCTTCTGTATGCGACATTTCATTTGTGACGAGTTCACCAGGTGAGATATAGCTGCCAAGATAGCAAAACTTGTCCACTTCTTCTACTACTTCCCCAGTCAGGGTAAGACTGGGTGCTGGACCAACCCAATCTTGGAGCAACATTTTACACTTTGAAGATGCAAAACTGTAATGATTGTAGTAGTCGTAGTAATACGCACGGAATTCGGAACACCAACCACGCAATATGAATCATAAGACCAAAATGAATAATACGCTATCACGAACTGGATCTCAGAAGCACTGGACCACAATGGCACGGATTCGCAATGTCTCACAAGAACGAGACGCGAGGAAATGGCCACAGGAATGGTAGTAAGCAGCAGTTCGTTTATTGAAGGAAATGAAGGTGATTAAATAATATGTACAAAGGGAGATTATTGGCTATATGTGCTTCCACCAATGGGATTGCAGTACTGGTTGCATAATCTTGCTTCTACCTGCACTGTCTTTGATCGGCTGGCACCATCCACCAATGACCTATATTCAGAAGCTATGAGCGTGTCATTGACGTCAGCATTCAAACTTGAATGATCGCCAATGTCCTGAAACTGTAACGCGCCGCTCCAGGGAAGGCGCCATCGTATGGACCTGGATCACCACGAAAATGCAGAGCGAACATCGCTACACTAGCACTCAAACTATCCAGAAAAGCTTGCAACTTACCTGGATCTTCACTTAGTAGCACAATATCCTCTGCATACTCTAGATCAGACAGTCTATGACCTGGGCATAAATGGTCACCGCTATCCTCGCATGAGGATGGCAAGTTGAATAGCAATCCACGGGATTATTGAGCAAGTCTACACCCAATCGACTAGTAAATGTCTTTTTACTTTGAACGCGATGCTTCCGTGGGTTTAGCACAATCGCATTACCACCATGTGCCTCGTATTGCAAAGACCACGGCGGCACGACACGGCATAAGTTCTACACTGTAGACGTCTGCCCGATGCGATTCGAGTGAGAGGTACCATCTTCTTTTGATCCAAACTTCCCACGACAGCTCCAACAATAAGAACTTACCTTCTTCATTTATCTGCGATATTCTTTCAGAAGTAACTTAAAGCTCAGAGTTCTCCTGAGAATCAGTTTGGCTGCATAATGCATGGAGGCATCTCGTGAGTTGAGTCCAGAGAAACTCCTAAAGCGATTCTGCTTGCTCAAGTAATAAGGCGTTTAAAAGTGTATATTTATTGGTGATGAATTACTCAACGTAGTTCTTTGTTGTAGAGCTAGTAGAATTGAAACTTCATCGATCGAACAATCCTCTCACCAGGTATTAATTCTCTCATTATCAATGTACAAATATCGAATACCGGTGCAGTTATGTACAGAGTAACAATATTGAGATAAGTGTTCCTTTAAATGAGCTGAAGCCATTGTTTTGTTTACGCACAAGCAACATCCAGTTCAACCTAAACGATCAGATTTATCGACCAGTTGATGAAGTGACCATGAGATAACCGCTTATTTGTTTATGGCCAAATTCCAAAATAGTCGAACCAACTCGTCTATTCTAGATTGAGTGTTATTCACACGATATGTGGATGATATTCTTTGTGTGATTATCTCGATATCGTGAACAATCAAGCTGTTATGCAAGTTCAGTTTTACCCACTAGAACATGAGGATTGACATTACTGAGTCTGAGTTATACATCCGATGACCCGTTACAACAATCGGTGCATAAGAAGGTGATTTGAAACAGCCAGTACATCCATTTTCACAACCTCACAGCACTCGAAATGAAAGAAATTTGGTGCCTTGCCTAGTAGTTAAGATACGATAGAATAGGCCCTATCATCCTAAATGCTCGTCTGACATATCCCGATGCCCTTAGTAATATCTTCATTGTCTCAAAGCTTAATGTTCTTTTAACGTTCTATGTTAATGACTGTGAGGCAAAATGGCTGATTCTCCCTTCTCACTCTCTACCTATCCGTTTACGTGTTTCTGTGGAACAATGTATATAGGCCATCCGGTCAGGCGTTTGCTCGAACGAATCCGTGAACATCAGATGTCACCGATAAACACAGAAACGATTAGATCACTCACTGGTACAGTGATTTTACACCAAACTGGAGACAATTACACGATGAATGTGCCTTTAGGCATTCCACCCCATTAATAGGGTTTGCGTTTGATTTCCACGACAGGTTCCCTATCTTATGCTTGCCACAGTAAAATTGGTAGGAGTCCGCTTGCCCAACCATCTTCTGGGTGCCCCAAGACAATTTCTGCGGGCGCTTAAGCTCCCACAGCCCACCCTCCAAAACCAGGTGCTCTCCACAATTAGAGGAACTAACAGGCAACTTTGTGATTGTTCAATTGTGTTTTTTGCATACTTAAGTTTCATGTTTGTGAAAAGCTCAACAGGCTCAGTGAAATTTGAAACCACGCCGGGAAGCCTCTGGCTCTTCATTTTACGAAATAATTTCATCAGTTAGTCTTATAGAATAGATCAAATACACATTAACGTGTTTGGCTTT